TCCATAACAACAGTATGGCTCTTGATTATACATCTTTATATAAGGAAAAGAAAATGTTTCATTATTTTGCCTTATTTTATGAGCAAAACTTAGCACACTAAATGATATGAATTCATTCTTTTAAATTATGTCTTAATTGACCTTATGTAATACCTACAGAGGTAATAACATTATATAATTTAAATCACTGTGATATGCAAATGTAAGAAAATAATACAATTTCAATTTCAAAATACTTCATTATTCTGTGAATCTATGACACAACTGAGCTGTGTGTGTGCATTTGTGTATTTGTGTATACAAAATATGGATGAGATTTAAAACAATGATCTTCATTCTTATGACAAAGCTCTGCTGACATAATAAATGATGTTGAACCAATATTTCACTTATTCTCTGCCTATTTGTCAATAGGCAAAAATAAGCATTCACAGACCTATCAATTTAGACCTTTAGGAAGAACCGTGGCTTCTATTAGTTTTTTATAAAATGTGATATTATACCTACATATCATGTAATATGTATAACATAGTATATGTTATTTATAAATGTTACGATTATTTCTATTTTGTTAATTTTAATAATAATTTAGATAAACCATGCAATTCTCAAGACTTGTATGATGCATTTTATGTCAGAAATGCCTATTTTAATTCAGTTTTGAATTACTTAGGCATATTCAGGAATACAAGCAATTTTAAAATACCCTAAAAAGCAATTTGGGCTCTAGATGAATATTATTTAAAACTTTAGGTATGAAGGCTTGTGTACATAAAAATGAATTTGATGAATATAAAGAGAAGTCGAATGTGTGCATTTGTGAGCTCCACAGTACTCTGAATTAGAATTTGTTGCTTAAGTATTTAAATGTCTTCTGAAAAAATTCTGCATGTGCACGATTAAAGTAAATGAGGTCCATAAAATTTCCCACAGGTATTATGATATATGATACTTTTGATTAATAGTCCCAACATTCTTGCAAAAGTTTTGCTGATTAAATATCTACTTTTTAAAAAATTCACTCTTCATAAGGATGGATTTTATTTGCTTGTCCCAAAGTTTTCATTCAGGTGTAACTACAGTGCGGTGTGCCATATCTAATTTATTCATTGCATATTTACAAAGATAATTCAGTTATAATATTTACATTCATCCTAATATTACTGTTTATACAAGAATACTATTTGAATTTATTTAAGTTATTGTGGATACATTATATTTGATAAGTTATTTTCAAAATAAATGAGCTAGTTTGGCAGCCAAAAATAGTAAGTTGGAATTAACAGAAATAAAATTCATATTTTTTAACATACAAAATATAGTTATTAACACTTCCCAACCTCATAAATCCAATGATAATATAAGGTCTTAATTTCAGAGGATTGTTTTTCACCATTTAAATGTTGCCAATATATAATATTAAATAATTAAAGCATAAAACAAGTTATCATCTGAAAATATCTGTACAAATACATACCTGTACATGTGAAGAATTTAGATTCGCCCACACTAAGCTCTACTTTGCTAAGTGAAATTGTCACTTGAAGAAGAGCTGAAAAAAATATTTAAATCATAATTAAATATGGCTTTCAACATGAATTCTAAGATTCTATCACATAATCTATAAACGACATGACCCAAACAGCAATTATTTTCCCTGTAAATTTTTATTACCTATAAAAAGAAATGAAAGTTTTATAAAATGCAATCTAATTATAAAATATAGCCTAACAACATTATGTCTGTTCCATTAGTATACAGTTCACAACCAGATCAAATACAGGACTTATTTACTACAACATGTTGAAATTTGTTTGTCACATAAATGAGTCAATTTATACTCACTTCCATATTTACATTCTTGGTTGTATATGTGCCACCACATTGGGCAATGACTACAAAATGTTTGTCCAACATTTGGAACCTCATTCGAAATCCTACACTGTCATCATAACAATTAAAATACAAACTGCATTTTGACTACCTACTAAAATATTTCCATGAAAAGATGAAAAACACTGCATAAGAAATGTGAATGAACACTATTTTCACAAGATAAATAAATTAAGTGAAGGAACTAGGGCAATGGTAATAAAATAGCGAAGATGTTCAATAAGCTTGTCCGATTTGAAATAAAATAGCTGAATATTCTAAAATTTTAGAGGATACTTAGAATTATATTTTAATACAAATTGAAAGACTTATATTTCTAATAATATGGTAGGCAAGATAGTGTGACCACACTCCAAAACCCTTCCCACCATCCCTTACTTCCAGATACCTATAGCTGGCCTTTCAGAAAAGTAATGGAGCATCAAGGGATTTAAAAAAAAAAAAAAATGAAGAACAATCTAAAAATCAGAGTATAAAGTGATACTGGAAATTTGTGGATTGTAGTAAGCAAAAGGTGCAGAGATTTCATAAAGATGGGATCAAAACTTGTCTATAAAAGGGGGTGCTGTAGCACACTAGGTAACATGGAAGCAGAATAAAATTCACCCTTAGTATAAGGAGGGTATAGAATAAATCAGCCCACTGGCAAAAGGGCAGTGATAAGAGAGTGGACTCTCCTAGCCTGTGCAGGAGGGGGAACTGTTTCTGTTTAAACAGATTAACCACACTCCGCCATATCCCAGGTTTGGGAATTTAATTATAGACACATTTGGGAACCTCCAAGCTGAAATACTAAACAAAAAAGCAGTGCCACACGTGGGGCTCCCAGCTCAGTGGCAGACAAACATAACCCCCTTCCGAGGAACTATATCATTAGCCCACACTGCCCAAGATGTTCATAAATTAAGCTCTCTTCAATCTAAACTCATATTCTGTCCAAAAAAAAAAAAAAAAAGTGAAATAAGGAACTGAAAGCAAGAGCCAACTAAAACATTCAAAAGGATAAACAGATCCACGAAGTTTCAAAAAATGGAATTAGACTCAACTATATCAAAAACATTTAAAGAAATGAAAGGTAAAATCAAAAACATGAGAGAAGAAGAAACTATTGATCAAGGAAGACTTGTTGGACATGTTCAAGCTCTTTAAAATATGTTTCTTTATACTCCCCATCATTGAATAACATTCCTTGTTTTGCAGGATACCTCTTTGGGAAACAGGCTGGCTTATATGGTTTTCTTCTCTCAGTTCTTGGTCTTATTTTTATTCATAATTCCTTAATTCTCAAAGAGCGCTTGGCATATGACAGGGGCTCAACAAGTGGTCAAGTAAATCTGAGATTTCAGAGAGAAATAGGTTAAGAAAAGCACAGAAGTTAGAAAGAATAGGAAGAAAAAGAGGAGAACCAGGGGACTAGAGAGTTATCTGCAAGCTACAAACAAGGCCAGTTCCAGTGAGCATTCACAGATGAGAATTTTTCATTTTGAAGCATAACTAATCCTTCAAGTGAATTTAATTTAAGTGTAATGGGGCAACAGAAGCAAATTGCAGAAGTTAAGGAAATTGAGACTGTCCCTACAATAAGGTTAAATGGGCAGAGATGGCTGAGGTTTTGGGGATCCACAATTCTGAGCATGTGGTTGGGGGTTTTATAAACTGAGAAAGATTTGGGCAGATAGAAAAGATCTGAGTTTAGGTTAAAGAGTTTAGGTTGAAGAGAGCTTAATTTGTGAACATCTTGGGCAATGTGGGCTAATGATATAGTTCTTCGGAAGGAGGTTATGTTTGTCTGCCACTGAGCTGTGAGCCCCACGAGTGGCACTGCGTTTTTGTTTAAAGATCTTCTAACAGATAGAGGGGAAGGAGGCAAAAAAGACATTATATGGTTGAAAATAAAAAGGGAATTTCCATTCTGTTCCACATTTTCCTTCTTTCCTCCCTTTTCTTTCTTTTTTACCTTTTCTCTTGGGATCTTCAGTATGCACTTTTCCAAAACCTAATCCTGTGATTTCCAACCCTCAGCTAGAATTCAGTCAGATAGCATAATTTAATTTCAAACTTTCTATGTGCAAACCGAATCTATTTTCCTTCTGTCAAAAGTTGCTCACTGTTCATATTCCATTTTTGGGCATCATCAATCAATTTTCAAGTCTTGGAGATAGAGCCTCTGAAATATCATTTGCCTGCATTCTTATTTATTTCCAACACTTCTCCCCCTAATACATGTACTCATTAATTTTAATGTGAGATGTTTATTTTAATCTGAGATAGTGATATATCAGATTCTATATTTCTTTTTGTGACTTTTATCTCTTCAATCTCTCTTTCCACGAAGTTTTTCTCAGGCTGCTGCATGGATAAGTTTTTAAAGCTGTTTAATTTCACCTGCCTGTTTCAAAAGTCCTCAAAGTGGATTTGCTTAGCCCAATTAGTTATTACACAAATTTTAATTGAAAGAAAACTTGCCTTTCCAAGTTTATTTCCAATTACTCTCTCCCAACCCTGTGAAGCTACAGACAACCACAATGAATCATCCCTGCCCTTTTTCCATGGACTCCTTTACTTTCCTGTCAATGTGGATTCGCTCAAACTATTTCCTCCGCTTTTCTCTCCCTGTCTCACTTGTCCACATGGCTGGCTATATCCTATCTTCAAAGCAAGAGTAAAATATCAATAACTTTATAAGATGTTCTTTGATAGCCTCCTCTACGGTAACAACAATAAATATCTTTGATCAGTAGGCATTTTCATTAAACAAATGAAACTTACATAACAGCTAATTATATTAACTTCTCTACCTTATTTAAATGTAAATGTAAATTTCTAAAAGTGAAGGCTCATCAACCTCACTTCTGTTCCTCCTTTAATTAAACTGATAACATATGAATACATAGCAGAACAATGGATAAACACTTACCAAGAGCTTATTGTACAGCAGGTACAGAACACTGACTTTATTGACAATATCAAATTGTGCAATGACTTCATTGTTTTAAAAATAATTTAAGGATGTCAGACAGTTTGAGAAATGTCTGCTGATTATTATTTAAACACTTTCCATTTTTGGTCTTTGTAGTAAATTTGTTTTTCTAAGGAAAAGTTTATAGAAAAGACAAAGGATGTAAGCACTTTAAATGTAAAATACAATTCTGGGTAATTTTACACTGATTTGCTGATGGATATAATAGATAACCTATTCATTGTAATAAAATAAAAATGAGCCTGAAATTAATTAGTTAATTTATATTAAAATACTTGGTTAATTTTTCATTCAGTAAAAATGATCAATTCACCCATTAATCAAGACCATACTTTCCACAGACATTTTGGTGACTAAATACATTGCTATACTTCAGGTATTAAAGTATATAAAGAAAATACATAATTCTTTAGTTTAATACATTTCCCAAAGGCTAGATGTGCTCTAACTGACCTCTACAGATACATTAAAACTTGTGCATATTAGGAAAAACGTGGATAACTAAAATTTAAGGTCATGTCTTAATCATGGCTCTAGTGATTTAACATCCAGAGTTTCTCGTAATCATTCTTGACCTGTGGCCACATCCAACAGTCTCATTTTGGGCCCAAATGTCAGAAGAAAATTAAAGTTTTGTAGTGTCAAAAGTTGTGTTCAGAGAAAAGTGGACAGGGCTGATATATTTGATACCTACCTAGTTAATCTCTCCATTTTTGGTGTTTCAAATTACACACACAAAAATGAAAGTGGATGGTAATATGAGGCCTTTATTTCATTTAGAAAAAAATAAAAAGCATTTCTAATTACAATTTCCATTTAGGACTGGAATTTGAAAATAAAATGGCATTCACTGATGCTGAACAACCCCTTTTTGATGTTTTACTTTTTATGTATTTGGAATAGATATAATAACTTTAAAGAAAACTGTGAAGAGTGTAGTATTTCAATGATTCATTGCCTATAAGGGCCATCATTGATTAAATCATGGCATTCCTTATAAATTAATCAATAAATCATCTTTTTGTATTAGAATTAGGGTTGAATCGTTGAAAAAAATGCCAGTATCTTCACAATACATTCTTTTTTTTTTTAATTTAAGTAATTTCTACACCCCAGCCATGTGGGGTTCAAACTCACAGCCCCAAGATCAAGAGTCACATGCTCTTCTGACTGAGTTAGCCAGGCACCCCTCTTCATGATAGAGTCTTAAAGTAAGAGAAAGCTTAAACTTACAGACTGAAAAGTGGAGCCATGATAAATCTGTAACCTCTGTGAACTAATTTCAAAAAAATCCATGTAATATCAACCTTTAAAGTAGAGTTAGGTAAATAAAAAATTATCTATAAAAATTAGTGTGTTTATTAACTATTTGCATTTTGCAAATCACTCTTTTAAATGCAATGGTATATAAAAATATTAAGCCACAGTTCCAAATGTCAAAGGAATTATAATTTATTTGGGAAGATTAATACTACATAAAATGAAAAATGATAAAACAATATGGAATGTATCAAATATGGCCATCATGAGATTTATAATCAGGAAGCCTCCACAGAGGGCAAAAAAACTTGAAAAAGATGTGATAGATATTGCAGTAGACAGAAAGTGGGTAGACATATGTGAATACGTGAATGTGTCCATGACATATGAAGAATATATGTGCTTCTGGACATTCCAGG